ATGTAACGGTTGTTACCCAGGAATCTTAGAAGTGCTTATAGAATTAAATATTGATTTGGTGGGAAGAAAAAGAAAATTCGGATCCAATATCAGCCTGTTCATGGTTCACAAATGCCGGTGAATTGGTATTCATAGACTCATACAGAGGGTTCTCCACTTAACTGTGGCCCTCAGTTTTCTTACCTATACAGGGAGGGTCTTGAACATCATCTGCCCTTTTGAACAATTTACATTCTCTGTGATTTTGATTAGTTTGATCTGTTGAATATTGACCTCATCAGTATGACAGAAAGAATGTATTATAACTACTGCTATCCAAGAGGGGTATGTAGGGATGGTAAGAGCCCAGACTACTATTTCCAGACATATAGTCTACAAGGAAGAGTCCATGCTGAAGCTCTTTTAGTTTGTAATTTGGTAGTTGTATATACTAATCATGTTGTGCTGCCTCTTGCAACTTTACTTTTGGGGATGGCTGGGCAGATAGTGGTCCTAAGGATCGATTCCAAAGCCTTATGAATACTAGGTAAGTGTTCTATCACTGAGGTAGATTACCAGCTTCATCCTTATGTTCTTGATATTTTTAAAATGTAGGTCATGATAGCACACCCCCATATAGCGCTGTGATGACTCTGTGGTCATTAGATATCCCTTCATATTTAGTCAGTCCTTAGTAAACATTGGTATTTCTTGTCAATCTGTAGCTTTACTGTTCCTTTATAATTACTGGGGAGAGATGGCCGAGAGCCATGGAGAAGGTGATCAGTGAAACCGCATAGGTTTTTCCTACTTGCTTTGCACACAACTGGGACCTGAAGACAGGGCATCTTGTCTGTAACTCTTTCTGGCAGGAGGCATATGGCTGGGATCGGGGCCCTTTCTCATGTTTGCCTCTCTGCTGGTGCTGCTGCTTCATTTTCAGTGTCTGGGGCGGGGGTCCTCTGTTTCACTTCTCTCTTTCACAATGATCATAGGCTAGAGCGAAACCTACCTCAAGGTAGAAGAAGGAAGAGCAAGGTGAGGGCTGGGACCTTGCCACCCTGCCTGCTTATGTGTTTTCACCGATTCTGTCTCTGACAAGCTACTAGGGGCCTCAGCAGGCATATGCTATTCCATCTGTTCCTCAAACCCCCTTATCAGAAGCAAGGTTCAGATTTAGAGAAAACAACCATAAAACATTAGAGTTTTTGGAAGTTTACAGATGTTTAGTTTGGGATGCACACATTTTCTGGTAAAAGTCACTCTAATGTAACTGAGACTCCAGTGAGGGCCAGAGAAAGGCCACGCTCCTCAGATCCATCTTGCATGGACTAATTTGGTTCACACATGCTTTGATTTGTTTCTGTCTCTTTTCCCCTCCCTGCTTCCTTTCTCCTCGTCCTCCCCCCCTTCCTTCTCCTCCCTTCATGTCTCCCCCCCCCATCTTCTGTTGTCTGCCTTTCCTTCCCTCTGTCATGTATGTGTGTTATGTCAGGTCAGAGTATAAATTCAGTTGTCAGTCTTTGCCTGTTAACTTGTTTTTGAGGTAGACTTTCATTGTTTTGTACCATGTGGGCTATCTGACTTAGACTTTCTGGGGATACTGCTATCCCTAGCTCCTATTTCTCTGTAGTAGTATTGGAATTACAGACATGCAATACTGTGCCCTACTTCTATGTGAGATTTGGGGATTTGAACTTGGGTCACTAAACATGCATGGCAAGTGCGTTATCCTACTGAGTTTTCTCAGTGCCTGTGTCGTTCATTTTTGCCATTGTTGTTGGTCCTGATATATTTCCAGATTTCAAGGATTTCTAAGTCCTGATAGGAGCCACCTCTCCAAACATGCTCTTGACAGATCCTTGCATTTTTTCATCTCTTTTCTATGTTACTCCCTTTCATTGCACTTATAGAAATGTGACTCCCCCGACTTTAGGCATTTTGAGTGAAAAGCAGAATCTGATTCATCTGGAGACATAGTGATAGACATGCGTTTACTTAATCATTAAGTAAATATGTATTTTGATTGAGTTTTTATCATGAACTAGACCTTGGGATTATAATAGTAGGAGTTCTGCTCTCAAGCATTGGAGAATTTACTTTGGGACTTGGGCATGCTGCCAATCATGTGATGAGTGCTTACCAGCAGGGGCTGAGCAAGGTATACCACCTGAACAAAGGATTAAATGCATGGCTTACATTCTAAAGAACTAACAGGAATTAATCACCAGGACGTAAATGATGCATTCTGGGTGAGAAATTATTTGTAACTGAGGGGTAGCTTGTTTGAATGGTTGCAGTGAAAAAATCTTGAGTAAAAGAATTTTCTGTAAGATGTACATGCTGTCACCTCAGCTGAGAAGTATTTTCATGAAAGGTATTAGAAACAGGATTAGCATCTGTTATTAAAGTCTCACACACGTAGAAGGATTTCCACTGAATTCTGATGAGCCTTTAGAGATCAGATTATTTGGGGTCATTATTAAGTTAATTGAGACTGCACTGGGATTGAGAACCTCTGAGAGTGAAAGCCTGATGATAAAAAGGAAAGTGACCAAGGGCACACCTCTACAGAATGGTCTCATGGTCTCAGGCACAAACGTCAAAACAAAAGTTGAATTTTTTTCATTAGTACAGCAAAGCACTCTACTAACTGTGACAGGATTTTTTTCCCCCTAGGATTGCAAAAATGTTACACTATTTGGGAATCTATCAGCATGATTCATTACATGCTAAGTAAAGAGAGGTTAAAGAAATTGCACCCATGAAGCTAATGGGGAGATAAATAGAGATTCTGTACAGTTGGGAGGAACTACAGGGGAGACACATGTTATTTTACCACTCCTGCAGAAGAGAGTTTCAAATTGTCTTACGATAGTACAGCCATACCACCCAGGAATTTGCAGTAAACTGTTAGTATGAAAAAGTATTGGTCATTCATGGCCACGCATCTGAGTTGAGGCAATACAAAAGCGGTAGGTAGGCTTAGGAGCCAGGGATTGGGAGGAAGTAGAATTGGTGGTGGTGGGTGCACCATAAGGACAGAGGCAGGAGCACAGCAGTTCATTATAAACCGTGGATTACTATTGGCATATATAAGATGCTGTGGTGGTCATCTGCAGACAGATGTATTACTCAATGAAGGGCAAGCTCAAAATGCTTCCTGTGAGGATGAAGGTTTCACCAGGGGGATTCACAAGGCTATAGGGTGCAGGGCTGTTTTCATATTGAGTTTTACCCTTTTCCTCTTAATGCAGCCCCAGCAATGACCTATTTCCTTATATCTGAGGCATAGCTAATTAACCCGGCACATCATAGCTGGTAAGTAGTACAGGGTTGCTCTGCAAATTTGCATTTTTGTACCAGAGACCATTACATGTTATATTATTTGCATTGAAAAGCTTTTGTTTGGAATAGCTAAATTTACAGCAAAGGTGCAATGATGCTATTAACCCATTTAAAGATAAACAATCAAAATTTCTACTACCAGCACACATAGAGCTTTACAACTTTTAAACCTTCCTTGCTTTCCTCTATTCCTTGTTTTATATTCACCTTAGTCACGCAGAATGTCAAAACAGTACCATCATCTCAAATTCGTGAAAGATAGGCTCAATTAATAAGAAAAATCATTTTTATTTTATTTATTTTTATTTTTATTTTATTTTTTGCTATTCTAACCTTAGATATAGGCTTAGTTTTAGTCTCTTTAAATGATTCCATATGTTCATATTTAAAAACTCTGAGTAAAACAGACATTTGTTGATTATTGTTCTTTATGATGGTCCTATCATAAGCTCACAGCTCTTTAAGTATATGAGTCTCAGTGCACATACAAGGGGAGGAAAAGGAAAAGAAGGCTCTGGGACCAGAGGGACACCAGTGTCACCACTGGCTTCAGCAATCTGCATCTTTAATCTCAATTTCTTCCCCTTTGGTTATTCAAGGAGTTATGTGCATCTTTTGATAGAACAGCACCTGTTTCCCTTTGGGTAAATGGTCTATATTTTCAGTTTCTATGAGAATGGAGGTAACCCCCCCCAGTTTTCATTGCAATTGATGATATAAGCATAAAGCTCTTCAATATTTTTTACTGGTTTACATAAAAGCTCCATGAATTAAAGAAGCTTTGGGTTTGTAAATCATAATTTTTGAGCATGCCATCAGAAGGGCTCTGGACTGTACTGTTCATTCATGGCTTGGGCACATGTGAGTTCCTCCCAGTGCTGTGTGTCTCAGCTTTTCCTGCTCTTTCCATTGCTCTGCCACAGGCTGGGCCCTTCATTTGTTGCCGCCTTTGCTCTGTCCTTTGTCTTTATAGACATCTGGAGGTAATCATGTAGCCCTCTTAATTAATTCAGTTCAATTAATAAATTACTAGGTAGATGTGGGGCTAGGAGTGGGTGCAGGGTACCTTCCGGCCTCACTGTGTTGGAGAGCTCTTGCAATCAGGCCTGGAGAGCCCTCCTCAAAAGTCTGTGAGACTCTTGCCCAGCAGGCAGACTGCCTGGAGGAGTGATTGGCATATCCTGACAGAGAACTCAATTCTCTCTTTACACAGTATGGAGACCCTGCAAGAACAGGGTCTGGGCCAGGCTGGGTATCACTCATGGAGTTACAGTAACTTTTCATAATTCTCCAGCTTTGTTAGGGGTTAATGGCCATTTCTTTTATTTACAGGGCCATCACTGCATTGCTGGTGTTGGATATTCTTTCTCTAATAAATTTCAGTATTTCTTTCAGGCATTTTGGCAACCAGTACCTCTGTGCCCTGCCCCCAAGTGCCTCTGGGAGGAGGGGTAGTCTTGTAGAGAAGACATTTTAAAGTATGCTGTCATGTATCTGCTAACAAAATAAATATTTCCTGTTTCCCTGATGTCTACTGGATAAGTTTAAACTCAAGAGTGTGTGTGAATAATTTTCTCTTTGGCCTCCATCTCCCAATCTAACTCTTTGGTCAGCTTCTTTCTCTTATGTTCTTGCAGCCACACTGAACATTGTGTCTGTTTTTCTAACTGCAGATTTCAACGATGTCTCACCCATCTTGGCTGCCACCCAAAAGCACTGGTGAGCCTCTTGGCCACGTTCCTGCACGGATGGAGACCACCCATTCTTTTGGGACCCCCAGTATCTCAGTGTCGACACAACAGCCACCCAAGAAGTTTGCGCCAGTAGTTGCTCCAAAACCCAAGTATAACCCGTACAAGCAGCCTGGAGGAGAGAGTGAGTTGTGGGGCCTGCAGTGGGAAAGAAATCAGCATAATAAGACATTGGTTTGCAATCAGGGTTGTGTCAGAAGGTGATTTCTTGGTATATTTGCCACAATTTATGAGCTGTCCCATTTTAATCAGCTCCCCATAGCCGTTTATACCAGCCACCTTTTAGAAACAAAGAGATTAAGTCCTCACAGAGTTCAATAGCTGGGACTTTACAGTAATAAATAGCAATAGTGGCCCAGATGGAAACAGGACCTCTTCGTACAGAGCCTTTCTGGAGCCTTGTATCTCACCCTTCCCTATCCTCCTGTGGGGATGTGTCTACTACCCAGTGGTTCTCACTGTTACCATCAGACAAGTGTCAAAATGCCACCAAGCAGTAGTTCAGTGAGAAAGCCATAGGACAAAAAGCCCTGTGGATGATTTGGAGAAAGCCTTACTTCCAGGGGTTCTAGGAGCAACATCCTCATTTTACATCAAGTGGGTTTTGAATATCTGCATGAGCTGAGCATGTAATGTTTAGATATGCCATGCATTCTCACATTAGCAGTCGTGGCCAGACAGCATCTTGGTTTTAGAAGAGTCTTTGTATTTGCACTAAGGAATGTCAAAAGCCCCTTTACACATATGAAGCAGTGACTTAAAACCATATAGAGTAGTGTGAGACTTCCAGAAACATACCCATCTAACTTTTGACAAATGACTGTTCTGTCTCTCATGTTCTCTCTATTGTGTTCTTGGATGACATGTTGTATTTGTTGTAGCAACATTGCAGGGGATTATTTCATACCCCTTGTTATTGCCTCCACTTTCTGTTTTTTTTCTGAGTCTTTCCCACTTCCCAGGAACCACACCATTAGTCCACAATTTTAACTACTACATTGACCTTCTAGCATTTTAGGGCTCCTGTCAGACACAGGGTTCAGATGTTTTCCTTCTGTAAGGTGACTTCAGGGTCAGAGGATATGAGAAGAAATGACAGGTCTCTGCACACTCAAGCTGTGGATCTTGATGGGTCTCTGTATGTCCCTTCCCTAGAAAAAGCATTCCCTAGAAAAGGCATTGCCAAGGCATGAACATGCTTCTCTGGGAAAATTACAGGTTGTCCATGTACTTGCTGACCCCAGTGCCTGCACTGGAAGCTTCATCGCTCTTGAAGGAGACTGCACTTATGCAGTTCACTAAGCTCTTTGTGAAGTTGGTTTGCACTGACTCATCATCCTCTAGAGCAATGATTCTCAATCTGTTTTTTGTGACCCCTTTGTGATCTGGAACATTACTTGTATAGAAGTCATATCAGATACTCTGCATATCAAATATTTATACTACGATTCATAACAGTAACAAAATTATATTTTTGGAGTAGCAAAAACATAATTTTATGGGTTTTTGGGGGGTGGTCACCACAGCATGAGGAAATACAATAAAGTCCCAGCATTTAGAAGGTTGAGATTCACTGCTCTAGGTATGGGGGAAGAATCAAACATGGGTTATGGGGGGGAAACCCTTGCTCAAAAGCAGAGAAAGCCATGTGTTAGCTTCCTGACTTGTTTTCTTTGCATTTCCTTTGTGTGATTTGCAGGGCATCTTTAGTTCCTCTCCTACCTAAGGAATTCAAATGGACTTCCTACAAATAGGCAGAGCACAACGAAGTGCTTACAAAGAAAAAGGTTACATGAGGAAGCTTTAGCAGAAATGGGACTTGATGATATGTTAAATGGTAGTTTGTGGGTTGGTTCTACGGTAGAGTACTTGTGCCCCCAGGAGAAGAAAAACACATAGTGGTGTTCTTTCTTCACTCCATTGCTAAGAGTTCTAGTCAGACAAGCTCTTGGGTGTCCCCTGGCTTATAATGCCCTGCCAGTACTCTGTGGCAGCCCACTGATTTCTCAGAAACAGTGGTGTAAATTGAATTGTGTCCATACATTCTAGCTCACAACTACTTGTCTCTTGCCATCCAACCTGTATTGTTACCTGTTGGAATCATGTTTGTACCACTTTCCCCATAATGTTTGGTGTAACATAAATCTATCTCTTCTTTCTCTACATTTTTCACACTGTCCCATTTCTACACTTGCCTTCTGTCCCTTACTGAACATGTAGTATATACCACGCATCACATTCTTCTGTTATTATTTGATTGCCTTTTCATGTCACCCTATGAAGGAGCCCAGACCCACAACCACAAAGGAACTGAAGCTCCCAGAGTGGGGTGGACTTCATTGTATTTTCTGGCACAGATTTTCTGTGTTGATGCTGTTCTCATAGACAGCATGTATCTTCAAACTGTATGTTTCAGTTCCATTTATTGTCCTTTACCCACTTCATGAGCTCATTTGAAGAGTTGTCCAGACACTGCTGCCTTCAACTTCCCAACTGCCTTTCTCACATTAGTTTCATGTCTGGACTCTCTAGGGTTTGCTTTTTAATTCTGACTGTGAAAATAGAAAAGCACCCACATGTATTCCACACCAGTTCATATTTATGTGATACCCATATGTTATACTTTTCTTTGTAAACCATTGTGCTAATCATTTTTGTCTAAAGGGCATTGGCACACAGTGGGTGTGCCTTTTCTCAGTCAGTGGTTCTGTAAGCCTCAAGTCCTTCGACTCTCAGAATTTTAAAATAATTTTTATTTCCTCAGCTGTTTTGAATGCTCCAACATTTTCAAATACTCTCTGTGTTCAGTACTGAATGCTGAGGTAGCTCACTGCCCTGTGTGTTTGTGTGTGCGTGTGTGTTTGTGTGTGTGGTGTGCGTTTGTGTGTGTGTGTTACAGGATGTATTTTTTATTGTACATAGTTTTATGTAAAGTTCTTTGATATGCATTATGATTTGCCCTTCATAGAAATGTGATAACACAATTTTCTCTCTAGTCTGTAAGCTGCCACCTTGCAGTTCTGTTTATCCTGTAATCTGGCTTCTATCCTAAAGAAAAACTAAGAAAACCATTAGACAGAACCAACAACATGCAAACTTAAATGTTGATGAAACAGAATGAAACAGAAAGGTGGAATTTTTTTCTGTTCTTTTTCATAGGCAGTGAACTATATCAGCTTTCCCAAGGTATTGTTTATTCAAAATTGTTTTGGGGTTATTCTGGTATTACTCTGTCTGTCTGTCTGTCTCTTTTTGTGTTTGTTTGATAAGTATGTAAAGTTCAAATTGTCTTATGATGTAGAATTATCTTTCTGTAATCTCTAAAATGCCATTTATAAAACTTTTTTTTATGTTAGACAAGTGAATCTGCAGAGCACCAATCCTAGGTGATCATGTGGTAGAACCTTTTATATTGGTACAGACCTTTTTAGTTTGCTCAGCACTGGCATTTCATTGTTTTGTTTTTAATTTTCAGAAGATAATTTTTACTGTTGCTTTCTCAGGCAGACAGAGCAGATGTTCTTTCCATTTTACTGATTGCTAGACCACCAGAAATGAAAGAGCTTATTAAAAATGATGTAATGGGACTGAGTATATAGTTCTGTACCTAGTACATGCATGCATGCAAATGCACACATGCAAATGTGTGTGTTTGTACGTGTGTGTGCGCGCACACACACACGCATAGACCCACATCATGTAATAAAGGAGGTGCCCCTTCATATCCAAATTGCTACTCATTGTAAGATTAAAAAATTCTTTTGAAGAACATTTATTTTACTTTATTGTGTGAGTGTTTTCCTGCATGTATGTCTGTGCATCACATGTTTACAATGCCAACAAAGGCCAAAAGAGGCCCTCAGGTTCCTCGGAACCTCCCCATGTCTCCAACTGGAGTTATGAACAACTGTGAGATACTGTGTGGGTGTTGGGAATTGAACTCAGGTCCCTGGGAAGAGCATCCAGTGCTATTAACCCCTGAGCCATCTGTTCAGTGCCTGATTTTTAAGATTTTAAAGTATTGTGTTCATTAACTATTTAGCTATACAAATTTACATTTCATACATTCCACTATTGTAATAGTTCATGATATTTGTTTGAAATTAAACTCCAAGGTTGATCCTTTCTACAAACCATTCTTGAACATATTACTCTGTGCACTTCCATATCATAAACAATGCTTATGCTTTTGTTGCTTGAGCTGCGTTGATGAAGGCAGAGCAGGTAAGGTGAGATGAATGGTTTCGAGCGGAATTCTTAAGCCAGCTTCTTTTCTTCTCCATTCTTCTGTGCTGTCGTGTGATGTCATTACCTTCACCCCATGCAGAGAACATAGCTTTAGAACATTACTAATATGGCATAATTAATAACAAAAATGCCTTGGCAACTTTAGAACTGAGTTTCCATGATAGAAATGTATCCACACTCATTTCTTTTTCTGTGTTTATAGTTGGGCCATTTTGCACACATTAATATTCGGTTTTTGAGTATTAGAAACAGAAAGGGTTTGAAAATTGTTGTGTGTAGTCCTTCCCTTTCATGATTGTGGAAACATCATCCAAGCGCTAGACAAGCCCCCTACCCTAAAGACCTGCTGCCAGGACTCAAAGTGCTACCCTGCTTCTAGAGTCCTCTTACCTTTGTTCCTCATGGAAGGTCATCTTGCATGTGACTTGGGAACTACAAGTAGCAAACATCTCTTCATGTACTTCCCCATTCTGAAAAATCATCAGTAACCATATTCAAGCACCTGCAATGTATTAGATTTTACTTATCATATTTCAGAGTGTGTTCTGAGGATCTTCAACATTCAGCAGTATATCAGCGACTCCCCTGAGCCTGTGGTTGACTGGCATGCCCCTTCTCTGTGAGGTTCTCAGTCCCCTCTGCCACCATGGCATGAAGGAGATAGCTTTGGATATTCAGGTCCTCCTGGGAAAAGAGGACCAGCTGTGTCTTCATTAAAGGAGCAGATACTAATCGTGTTAATTTGATCTTTGCATCGTGAAGAAGAAGGAAACTGCAATTTGTGGGATGTTGTCTGTTCATGTCAGGTGTTCCTAATCCTCCCTGCCACCCAGCTCCACTACACAGTACTGGGTGGATGGTCTGTGTTAGTTTTGC